TATATATATATATATATATATATATATATATATATACACCTTGCTACGTGTACTGTGTTAGGCTAAACAAGACTTGTCATTTGCACTTATATATTGTTGCTCTTTTGTTAGTTTTGACTGCTTTTATTGTCCTCATTTGTAAGTCGCTTTGGATAAAAGCGTCTGCTAAATGACTAAATGTAAATGTAAATGAATCAGCTGGTGAATTAGTCAAGCGTGAGAGTTACATCAGCAGTTTAACAAGCTGTAAGAAGCAACAGCTAAGTTAATTAGTTTGACTCATGCAAAATTAAATGCACGAGAGAAAGGGATATTAATTTGAATTAGACAGAAAAAATGTAGATAAAAAGAACAGAAGTGTGCCTGCTGATAGCCTTTTGCGCAAACTGCCTGTGCTGTTTTAGCAGCTGATTCACTAAAGGAATTCAGGTAATGAAAGAAATTTCCATAGAAAGCTGTTTAAGCAAACTCGAATAAGAAGACATACAAAAAACAAAAGTGACACAGGTGTTTAGTGAATTTACTACTTATTTGGCAGACAAGATAGATCAAAATAAATAAGTAAATGAATGAATAAATAAATAAAAAGATAGAGAGATAGAGGGAGATAGAGAGATGGACTGACCCGAGACAGCACATGAACACTGGCAGCAGTAACATGAGCAGAGAGGAAAGCAGTGGAGAGCCTGCATTTCTCCTACACATGGCCTCATCCTAACATACATTATACAGCCAAATACACAGCACCAGAGAAAGAGAGAAAGAGAGAGGAAGAGTCATGCAGAAAAATGTCTGACAGTCAGAAGTTTAAGCAACATGCGAACAAGTGCTTGAGCCAAAAAGCGTTAATACTGTAAGTAAAAAGAGAGAATCCAGAGCAGGAAGTAGGTGTGTTCAGATAAAGATACACTACTTGGTCAAAAGTATGTGGACACCCCACTCATATGTAGTCGGTGAACATTTCAATTCAAAATCATGAATAGGAAGCTAGTTCAATGGGGCTCATGTCTTGGTTTTGTGCAGGCCAGTCAAATTCTTTCAGACTAGACTCTTCATGTCTTCAAAAATGGGATTGCATAACTATACGCTTGATTTTATGCACCTGTTCTATCCAAAACACCCAACCCAGTTAATTTAAAAAAGGTGTCCACATTCTTTAGGCCATGAAATGTATGTTTGCGTGAGATTAGAACATGTCAAACAAAGTCAAGCTCTCCGAAACCAAGATCTATCACACAGAGCCAAATAGCGTTTCTTTACATCGGTCATGACTCAAAGATTCTCATACAGAGTCTCAGTGTGGTAGATGACTGAAATGAGAGCAGCAAAGACCAGCCATTTTTGAAGAATAGGACATGATGCACATCAAGTCATGCTGATTGCTAGTTTGGTCTTAATCTGTCGTAGGCTTTTGCAGGAGGGAGGCGTTTAAGTGACTTACACTTGCGTTGTTTTCAAAGCACTGTGTCGGACCTTTCCGATAGCGTGGGTTCTGGGCTATCTCACAGGGATCTGGACCTGGAGCTGTGAGACCAAGTTCAGGATTCAAATCAGCACAATCTGATATTATGCGAAAAAGTAAGGATTTTCCGAGGTATAAAATTGTGAATGCGATTTGTATGGAAACATATGATTTTTAGAAGAAAACCCAACAGTCAGTGGGCTGTACGCAGATCGTACAAAAATTCACGAATGCGATTGTACGAAATAATTTGTATGAATTAATAAGCCACTAATACCGGCAGGGATTGTAGGTGGGGGGAGTGAATGTACAGCGCTCTCTCCCACCTTCAATACCACGACTGAGGTGCCCTTGAGCAAGGCACCGAACCCCCAACTGCTCCCCGGGTGCCGCAGCATAAATGGCTGCCCACTGCTCCGGGTGTGTGTTCACGGTGTGTGTGTGTTCACTGCTGTGTGTGTGTGCACTTTGGATGGGTTAAATGCAGAGCACTAATTCCTAGTATGGGTCACCATACTTGGCCACATGTCACGTCACACTTTTTTCACACTTAATTCACTAAAACTTCATTACATTTATAATTGACATTAGAGTGTGTTGGACTTAATACACTCCTGCTGAAAAAAACTGCTAGTCCATCCTGGTTTATGCAGGTCTAGTGCTGGTGGTCTAGCTGTTCAGCAGCAAAACCTGTTTTTTTTCTGGAGCTCCAAGGAAGTTTTGCTGGTTTATTTAGTAAAGTACCAAAAATACCAGCACTGCACAATTTTATAAACCTGCTTAACCTCTACAAGTCACGTATTTACAAGAAAAATGGGACATTGGATAAACATGTTGGGTAATGACTTGAGAACTGGTCAACCATTTTTCCACTTTACTGACATCAGCTGGTCGAATGAACTGACTAAAATGAACTAAAATGACAGCGAGAGAGACATTCTTCCAGAATGTGTTTTTGCGTGAAATTGTGAGACGCAATGCATTTACCGGAAAAGCTACTTCTAGTTATTTCTGAATTTCCTTCCCAAAGCTGACACTGACCTGACGAGTAATCATCATTGTGTGTCTCAATACAAAACAGCAGGTTTGTTTGTACATGAATGAAGGATACAAGGCTTTTCTTCCTGGGAGAAAAATCTTTCATCAGCCTGGCAACACGGTTCTTTTGTGTCGGCAACAATAAGCACCAGATTTGTCTTCGGAAGCTTTTCAGCTATGAACTGCCTGAAAACAAAAACACAAACATATGCACAAACTAATGGGCACAATTCATCTGTGACAAAGGTCACCTTGATCATTAAGAACTGGGTGACAACTGATTAAAAGGCTATATAATGACATAAAATGTTAAATTTAATTTACTTATTGTTACATGATATGCAGACTAAATAAAGAGAAAACATAAGTTACAGAATTGTATAATTGCATGTTTAATTTAGTTTTGTTTTCATTTAATATTGATTTATTATGATATAATATGCCATTTAAATAAGTAAATAAATAAATAGATATATATACACTATACAATTATAGACTATACAATTATAATAATCAATATTAGTTATTTTTTCCCAAATAAAGATAACTGGAAAATGTATGTAAAGCTCAGGAGCAATTAATATGTTTTTTGCTGCGTACTTTTTTAAACAATTAATCACAAAAATGTTATCACATTAAATTGACAAGCAACAAAAAAAAGAAAAATCATTTTGATTCCACAATTAAGTTCCACAAAAGTCTCACCTGGAGCAGTTCTGACAATCAATAGTCCCCTTAAAAGTTGTCTCATCGTTCTCAAAGAAATACTGTTTCTGCTCTTTAATGCAACTCTCTTTAGATGGCATTTCAGACAGGTCATCGTCTAGGTCCGCTGTGAACAAAACACAATTGATATTCAGTTGCCATGAGCTACAATACTTGAAATGATTATATGAATTACTGTTGATTTAGTGCTTAAATAATACCCACTGAACTGTCAATTGAGTCAATTACAAAAAAATGAAAATTAAATTTCACAGAATACAGTCAAAAATTACAACGCACCCTCATCACATTAATTGTCTTTGACATTCTGAAATAGAATACATGGGCACACTCTGTACGTACAGGAATTCAACATTAGCAGTCATTAGCACTGTAGTTTTGGCAGTGCACCAGACGACAAGAAAAACAGGCATCTGCCAAATTGCAGTAGCTTAATCATTGTTTCATAGCAATGAATTACTAATGTCTAGATCTTACCTGCCTCAAGGAAGTTAGGAAATGTGATGCTGACAAACAACTGCTGCAATATTGACCTGGAGAAATCAAAAGAAATACTGATTGAGCTAAGAACAATGTTTTTGTCCATATGCTGTAATGAAAGTCATTGCGTTCCAAAACAACATCGGACTCCTATTTTCTTGTAAAATATACAAAGAGGCCCTTTTTCCACAGAAGAAAGGTTTGGAACATGAGGGTTAGTTAATAATCAATGGATTTTCATTTTCTGTGTGAACTGAGAAAGTTAAATCGCTCACCAGGCTGCTGCAGAAGCCCACCAACCAATGGTCAGGATGTCAGCTATGGTGGGCTAAAAGGGACAAACAACATGTTTTAAATCTACACAACATTTCTGTGAGCACGAAGGCCATCTAAAAGGTTCAGATGTGATGCATCATCCCCATTAAAATCAGCATAAACTCAAAGATGTTGGCATCTTAAACTCGTATTCTCTCAGACATTCTTCTCTAACTTTGCAAGTTGCATATCCGGAGCTGAGAAGCACCAAAACATCCTGATTTTTATTGGCAGGAGGCCCTGTTATGACCCTGCCAGACAGAAGGGACCCGGTGCCAAACAATACGGGAGATATTAGACGAAAGCTCAGCAGATGCAAGCATAAATCCACAAACAAGGCTAAACGAATGAGCTCAGGGGACCATTAGCTGCCGCACACGCTGCTCTGATTAGCATGAGAGAGAGGAAGTGTCTCCTTGTGATGATTCACGGTCGACTCTCTGTGTTGTGAGAGGTTTAGTCAGCATGTAAGACAAGGCCGAAATCGTTCAAGTCACAGATCAGAGAGAGTATCGTGAGGCTAACTTATCAGTGTGATATGGAACAATAATATGAAGTTCACTAATTGCATGACTAAGCTTTATAGTCCGGGGAAAATGTGCTATGCAAGCAAATCTTTATTTGCAGGTGCCAAAACACTTTTCAGATAACACGCAAACCACTACTGGATACGATTTTATTGTGAGTGAACATATTATAAACTGACTTTATTTTTTGTCTTAAGAAACTGAAATGAATTAAAAGAAAATGAAACTCACCACATAGACTGATCTGAGACCAGCGGCGGCTTTAGTTTCTTTGGTGGGTTCACAGAGGGCCTGGTAGTCATAGGTTATGTTGACGGAGAACAGGGATTCGTTTATCAGATTCCTCATTAGGCTGGGGTCAATCATCCCGAAAAACTGTCCGATCTGAAAACACAGACATTCACAAACACACACAATTACTTAGAGACGAGGGCATCATAGACTTCTGTTGTTATTATATAGGGATAATTATAATTACTACAGACTAAAAAAAAATCACATTCACAAAATTTCAACAAACTTTTTCAGACAAAAAAGGTCTATTGTCTATAATTGTCAATAGTGTAGCGTCGCACAGCTCAAACAGTTACTTTCAAATCAAGCAGCCTTCTATCGGTCAGTATGACGAACTTGTTAAATCCTGTTGCCAAATCTGTGGGGAATTGTTTTTTCCCATTATGTAAAATTTTGTTTCCTACTGAAATGACTGGATTTCACCCACAAAACTTTGCTGGCATCTCCAAAGGATTTGATCAGTGTTTGCTTACTTCTGGGGATAATTTAATGCCCCAAAAGAATATCCTTCATGAACCTGCATTTTAATTAAATCTACACAACATTTCTGTGAGCACGAAGGCCATCTAAAAGGTTCAGATGTGATGCATCATCCCCATTAAAATCAGCATAAACTCAAAGATGTTGGCATCTTAAACTCGTATTCTCTCAGACATTCTTCTCTAACTTTGCAAGTTGCATATCCGGAGCTGAGAAGCACCAAAACATCCTGATTTTTATTGGCAGGAGGCCCTGTTATGACCCTGCCAGACAGAAGGGACCCGGTGCCAAACAATACGGGAGATATTAGACGAAAGCTCAGCAGATGCAAGCATAAATCCACAAACAAGGCTAAACGAATGAGCTCAGGGGACCATTAGCTGCCGCACACGCTGCTCTGATTAGCATGAGAGAGAGGAAGTGTCTCCTTGTGATGATTCACGGTCGACTCTCTGTGTTGTGAGAGGTTTAGTCAGCATGTAAGACAAGGCCGAAATCGTTCAAGTCACAGATCAGAGAGAGTATCGTGAGGCTAACTTATCAGTGTGATATGGAACAATAATATGAAGTTCACTAATTGCATGACTAAGCTTTATAGTCCGGGGAAAATGTGCTATGCAAGCAAATCTTTATTTGCAGGTGCCAAAACACTTTTCAGATAACACGCAAACCACTACTGGATACGATTTTATTGTGAGTGAACATATTATAAACTGACTTTATTTTTTGTCTTAAGAAACTGAAATGAATTAAAAGAAAATGAAACTCACCACATAGACTGATCTGAGACCAGCGGCGGCTTTAGTTTCTTTGGTGGGTTCACAGAGGGCCTGGTAGTCATAGGTTATGTTGACGGAGAACAGGGATTCGTTTATCAGATTCCTCATTAGGCTGGGGTCAATCATCCCGAAAAACTGTCCGATCTGAAAACACAGACATTCACAAACACACACAATTACTTAGAGACGAGGGCATCATAGACTTCTGTTGTTATTATATAGGGATAATTATAATTACTACAGACTAAAAAAAAATCACATTCACAAAATTTCAACAAACTTTTTCAGACAAAAAAGGTCTATTGTCTATAATTGTCAATAGTGTAGCGTCGCACAGCTCAAACAGTTACTTTCAAATCAAGCAGCCTTCTATCGGTCAGTATGACGAACTTGTTAAATCCTGTTGCCAAATCTGTGGGGAATTGTTTTTTCCCATTATGTAAAATTTTGTTTCCTACTGAAATGACTGGATTTCACCCACAAAACTTTGCTGGCATCTCCAAAGGATTTGATCAGTGTTTGCTTACTTCTGGGGATAATTTAATGCCCCAAAAGAATATCCTTCATGAACCTGCATTTTAAAAAGCAACAGGCACAGACTGTAAAGATTCACCACTGAAAAATAAAGTATACAAAAGCTATTTTTGTTTTCAATTAACATCATTTAAACCCACAATGAAATGTTTGTTTATTCACCATTTGCTCTGCAGATGTCCGGAGATGAGCTACAAACAGTATAAAGAATCACGCTCTGAATACACACATCTGCTCCTGACGAATGAGTCGTCCCCTATTAACAGTTTGCAGGAAGACAAAGCGTGGCTTCTTTTTTGGTTAAGGAAAGGTAAAATAAAATAAAAATAAATTGTTCATATTTGCCACACTGATTCTTGGGGAAAATGTGCATCATTCTGTGGAATCGTAAAAAATGCAGTCACACTTTATTTTAAGGTCCAACTCTCGCTATTAACAAACCATTAACCTCGACTTTTCCCTCAATAAACTCCTAATTTGCTGCTTATTAATAGTTAGTAAGGTAGTTGTTAAGTTTAGGTATTGGGTAGGATTAGGGATGTAGAATATGGTCATGCACAATATGTGTTTTATAAGTACTAATAAACAGCCAACATCTTAATAATAGTCATGCCACTAGTTAATAGTAAAAATTGGTCCCTATACTAAAGTGTTACCAAAACTGCTTAAATGTGTTAAAACAGAAATGTGCAGAATTAAATAGTGAATAATTATTCCTATTTAATTCCATGTGGCTATTCTTATTCAAAATTTCACAACATTGGCCAAGTTACATAGCAGGCATGTGTCACTCAGGGTATGAGGATGTCTGTCCCTACTAATCTGTAGAATAAGTTCATGCTGTGAACTACATGCTGTGTGTTTAAAGAGTGTGGAGCCCACCGTGCTCAGGGGAGCCAATAGGATCTGTTCTAATCTTATTAGGACGGCCTACTGAATTACCATAATTTAAACCAAAGAAAGAGCTGTTTGTGAGCCCAGAAAATCTCAGAGGTGTGATACTGACTGCGAGTGTGTGTGGAATTTTTAAAAACCGCCCCTGTTCTGGTTACTGTTACGAACACACACAGCTTAACTTCCAGCTTTGTATTGCACGTAAGAATGTAAAAGTGTGTGCATCCGAGACTATAAGTCAGTCCAAAGGCGATATAAATCCTAGAGCGTACAGAACGGCCGCCGCTCCCTGTGCAATAACAGCCGTAATGAATGTGCGGTCTGCCCGACGGTCCTAGCCGACCCCTGGAGAGTCTGCCCACACAGAGGGGAGGAGACGGGATTTAGGGCACAGTCGGTCCCCTCGGCTTCAGTCCTGCTGCCAAACACTCCGGCCGTGATTTATCCTGCACACACTCCGCTCTGATTGGTTTCCCTCGCTGAGCCTAACTTTAAACATTTACTCTACTGCTGTTGCCGGCGGGGTGCAGGTGGGGTTGGGTGAGCGCTCTCTGGGGGTCAAAGAAGGGGAATGTGGAATGGAAGCAAAATGGTGATTGGGTATGAAGAGAGGCACACCTTATTGATATAGAGGTCCTTATTGGTCATGACAAGAAAGCCTCCATCATCCAGAAGAAAGCAGTCCAGATTCTTTGAGAGAAAAAGATAAATACAGTCTTAGAGTAATTTAAAGTAAGCTTGTGCTCAGTAAGTGTTTTTTTTTTTTAAGAAATTAATACTTTTATTCAACAGGGACGCATTAAACTGGTCGAAAGTGACAGTAGACATTTATATTGTTACAAAGGATTTCTATTTTTAAATCCTGAAAAAGATTTCATGGTTTCCACAAAAATAAAAAGCAAAGAAACCATTTTTAAAGGTGAAAATATTAAGAAATGTTTCTTGAGAAAACATACTAAAATAGAAAACCGATATTTTGAATTGTATTTTTCACAATATTACTGTTTTTACTGTATTTTTGCTCCTTGATGGGCATAAGAGACCTATAAAAAAATCTTACTGACTCCAAACTTTTAAACAGTAGTTTATATAATATAGATAATAACATCTCTTTAGATCTAACACAAGTAGTCGCATAAATATGATCTTACACTATCGTCCCTCCTGCACCCACAGATTTCCCCAACACACTGTGCAGGAAGAGTAAAAATATAGACGGATTCATATTAGAGTTTCACAAAAATATCAAAACTGTATTATCAGGCAATATTAAAGATTTTTTTAATTTAGTGGTATCAGTGGACATTGGACATACTAACTCATATCGGATATGTAATTGTGCATGCTCGTTTTTTACATTTAGATCACCTTTGACAACATTTAATGCTCACTTGAAATTAATCTTTCAAAAAACATCAACAATAATAACACTATTAAATGTAAATGCAAATCTCAAAACAAATATCAGTTTGTTTGTTTGTTTTTAAAAAAGCATTACAATGTTGTGATTACAAAGTTCACCTGTAGCATTTAGATTTCAAATGTACTTTTTGGAATTTGAATATTGACCATTTGACCATAACTTTCATCACTGCATACCTAATTCATACAAATACAAACTGACATTATTAAGATGGATCAAATTGACAGTATTCTCAAGCATCCTTCTAACCTGCATTACAGTTAAAATGAATACAGGTAGTTAATTTCTTGCACTCACTTTGGGCGTAATCGTAGCGTTGATGAAGCTTTCCATCCAAGTCTGTTTATCCAGTTTTACACCAACCACTGAAACCAAAATGAGTTTAGTTTTAAGTTTTCCATCAGTTCACAATCACACAATCAAACAAAGATTCACTGGCAAAACAAAAAACGACTTTAATTACACTATTGGTAGCTTTCTGAACTGGCCACTTCTGGTAAGTGTCAATAATTTGAAAATATTGTTTGATTACTTGACCAGGCTGTTATATTGGTTTATCGCCACATCTTTCTATCTACGGTATATTCCCATATCAAAACTATAACGTCCGACTCTTACCTGCTGGCTTCAGCATGAATTCATCAACTCTCAGGTCCATCGCTCTGCTCACTAAAATAGAATCTTGAGTTTCTGATAAAAAGGGGACAGAAAATATCCATTAATCCAAAAAGGAAAAATGGGATTTTGCTGCTTTTAATAATCACCAACACATACTTACCATTGAATGCATATGGCGATGACGTAAATACAAAAATGTTGTTGTCCAGACTTCTCTTGTAGAAACTAGACTTGTATGTTTCTGCCTGTTCAGTCCATTCTGAACCAGCACTGCAGAACACACACAGAGCGATAATTTTAGTCTAAATCCCATAGACCTGCCTGGTATTCCCTCTCTAAAGCTTTAAAATATAATAGTACCTCGCAGGATAGACTCTAGTGACTCCGCCGTCTGTCACCACAAACTTAGCCCTGATTCTCTCATTCCTGAAAACCACAAACTAGACTGAAAAAAGTGCTGTATAAAATAGATAGAAGAAATTCTATCATACTTTTTCTTTTATGCTGCTTATGGGATTTTCTTTTTCTGTGGAACACAAAAGGAGATGCTTAGCAGAATGTTCATGCTGCTCTTTTCCATACAACAAACGCATACAGTGGCCAAACTCCTAATAGGACAATATAACACCATAAAAGACTATTTTTATGAGGCTCTTTTTGGAATTTGACAGCATATGCTTTCATTGTTTGAAAAAAAGCAGCATGAACACAGTTCAAAACATCTCCTTTTGTGTTCCACCAAAGAAAGATGTTCATACAGGTTTGAATCAACATGAGGAGAGTAAAGTTGAAGTTAAATTCACTTGGCCTAGTGTATTTTGCATTTATAATTCAGTGCAACTCACTGCCCCTGTTTGTTCCAGTGTTTGGCCAGTTCAGCGGTGATGCCAGCGTCCAGCAGCAGTCTGTTTATTAGCTCCATATTACCTGAGGAACCATACATAAAAAAAATCTATTAACATCTCGCCATCCTTTTACCATCGTTTTGACATGACAAGTATCAAAATGACTCTGGCACTACAGGAGCAACATCTAATGGAAGATCAGTAGGCACAGTACAAAGCTTTACGTCATTATAAGCTTCACATTTGACTTGATAAATGCATAAACACCTGTTGGTCATGAGTAAGCACAGGCTCCACGTCCTGACCTTTGAGGCAACCGATGCCAAAGTCATAAAGAAGTAGAACTTCATAAAAAAGAGAGCGAGACAGCGACGCAAAAAAAACGAGGCGGAGAGACATGTCGGGAAAGTAACACGCAGATGAATTTTCCGAGACGTGGAACACGATTGTATTCTTCGGCTGTATGAAACAGCAGTAAGTGTTCAAAGGTTTTTCGTTTTTTTGGTGCGGGCACGTTCAGAACGTTAGAGTGTTTTATAACATCGCACTGCAGTTCATTACCGCAAAGCCTTTACGACAAAACACACACACACTTCAGAGAGAGCAGCTGGTGTACAACTTTATTCCGCCCCCCTCTGCACGCTGCATGCTTTTCATTAGGACCTCATTGAGAGCAGCGCAAGAACACAGTTCAACTGATCCACCTGTGTTTGACAGCGAGGAAATCATGGACTTAAAATACCAGACCTCTGTGACAAATAGCCACAGAAATTAGTGTTTACAGTGCTATGTTTTGCTGGTTACAAAATTTTATTGTCTATCCTCACGAGGAAGTTTTATTCTTGAGTGAAAAAACAGACAACAACATAATGAGTCGAAATTATTGTCTGTTGGTTAATGTGAGAGAATTTTTGTAGGATATCTGAAATAGAGATCAGCTTTTGGAACCTTTAAATTAAATTAAATTACATTCTCTATTTTATTTAATTAAAAATAAATGTGTTAATTTAATTAAAAATAAATGTGTTAATTTAATTTAATTTATGCATTGCCACACATTGCCAGCCCTCTCTCTCTTTTTCCCCGTGACATGTCCTGCTTTTCCTCTTTCACACCGGGTAATTGGTGCAGAATTCAGGGGGTGGGCTCATAGGTATAAAGTACTACAGCCAAACCTACACATTCAACACATGTGCACCAAACCAAGTGAATACCGCAGCACCAACTGATCCTGATGAGATCAAAGCGGCCTGCAGAGAGGAAGGTGAGGTGGAAGGGGGGTGTCTGTGTGTGCGGGCAAAGGGAGGAGGTTTACTTAGTATTAACACGGTCAACAAGAAAACAATAAATATAATTAGATTAAAAAAACTGAAATACACAAACCCTAATGTACTCAAGAAAAGGTGTAAGAGAACTGCTTTTGATGTGGACGAGGTGTTTTTTTAAACACAGCACAAGTAGTGTGATTGTAAATAGAAGCTTTCGCCTATGCAAGAACTCAAAATTATTCCAACTGATTTTTTTTAAATCTAATATTCTCGGCTATAAACTTTATTTAATTCAGTATTATTATTGAATTAAAATATGGAAAATTCCTTTTTTTTTTTTGTCTGAAAAAAATATTAAAATGTGTAATGGCATTGTTTAATAATATAATACAGCACTATTTATAACACTGTTAAAAACTGTTTAAAAATAATTAAAATATATTCCAACGTGAAATAGCAATATTTGGCATCTATAATATTGTATGAAGCTATTTAAAAATAAAGTAGTAAAATTATAATACTGTATTAAAAATGACAAAAATGTCCTAAAATGTGTGATTGCAATATTTAGTAATTATATTCATAAGACTGTGATAAAAACGTTTTATTTAAAAATTATTTAGTGGCACTGTATAACGCAGTTATATTTATAATATATAAATAAAAAATGTAGTGAAATGTGTAATGACATCATTTAGTAATAGAATTTAGTAATGTTTATAATACTGTATTAAAAATTATAAAAATGTATTAAAATGTGTAATTGCAATATTTAGTAATAACATTCATAATACTATGTTAAAACACTTAAAATTCTACAACTTTATTAAAAATGTGTAATGGTATCATTTAACAATATATTATATACATTTTTATAATACTATTTTAAAGTACAGCACCTGTGAATCTTTGAATATACAATTTTTTTAGCTAAAAGTCGCGACTACTTTTAAGTAACATTTTAATCAAGATTTTGTCCTCATAAACTGCTCGCTCCCCCCGGAGCAGCCCTGGAAATGAACTCTGAACCTTTAAACTAGAGGTATGAATCCCTGACCTCAGTGGATTTGAACCAGCAGCCCAGAAAGCTCCAGAAGATACTCACACGGCGAGTGGTTGGGGGTATGAATGTCAATGTACTCAATGAAGTCTGTGAGGAATTGTGTGTTGTTGTCACTCTGAGCTTTCAGGTCTGTGCAGTAATCTCTAAAACATGGAAAAGGAACATTTCTCAGAATCATTTAGCAGAAATAAAGTAATAAGTAAGATCGGAACAACATGAAGGTGAGTAAATGATCACACTATTTTTGGGTGAACTATCCCTTTAAGAAACTGACCTGGGTGCTATTAAAGTATATCCATACTCTTCAAATCTGTCCACATGCAGGCTTTCAAAAACTGAAAGAAAATATGAAAATATCAGAAATCAGCAAGATCAAAGAGCATTTCAAATAAGTTCTGTCATTACAGAGCGGAAAATAATACAATACAGATATATACAAATAAAAACAGACCCCAAAACATACAGGTACATTCAAAATGACCTGACAGTGAAACACAACTCTACAAACAGCAGGCTGCTGCACAACAGCTTGTGAAAATATGTCTTTGAGCTTCTGTCTAGTAATGCGGTTATCTGCTGTGACACCCTGCTGTTTAGGCACACGACCTCACATACGGGTGGCCCAGACCGAGAAAGTTCAAAATGAGAAATTTGATCTATTATCTCAAAATATAATAATAATAATTAAATTAAATTAAATAAGAAAAATTCAGAGCAAAGTTGAGATCAAGAAATATTAAAGATTCTGCACTGTAACAATGTTTTCTTAAATAAATAAATGTCTGTTTCAAATTCATCACATTCTCCCACATATATTCTGCTACATATTTATGCATGTGGGTTTGTTTGCGAGTATGTTTGTTCTTTCTGAAACCAGATGACGGACTCAAACATGTGAGAGGTCAGATGTTACATCCAGGTTCAAACATGAAGGAAAAGACAAAAGGAGAGAAAGACAATACTTGCCAGCTTCTTCTGAAGGGTCAAATGCCGCAAAGAGGGAAAGGAGGGAACAATTTACCGAGGAAAGGAGGCAAAGAGAGGCAGAGAAACAGGGTAAAACCACAGGGGTCAAAGGTCACCAATATTTTATTCACAGAACAAGCCTTGAATAAAAATATTGCATTCTCATCTAAGGTTTTCTGCTGGTTGTAAATTGAAAGACAAACAACGTTAATGAATTATGCATTCACACGAGTCAAAAAGATGACAGAAGAAGGAGGGGAAAATTTCATGCAGAAAATAATTATAAGTGACTTTCTTCAAAATGAACGTCACTTGGTTTGATATTTTGTTAATGCAATGGCATCCAGACATTTTTAAATGTGGCCAAACTGTCCAAATGCATTTTGAGGCCGCTGCGTTTTCACTTGATTTACATTAAACTCAATCTCTGTGATGGTGTCAGGTTGAAAAAAGACAAAAAAGTGGTAAATTATGGTTTTAAAGGATGTAAAATATATTTTAGCAGAAGGACAAACCAAGATCTGGTGGCAGATGAGCGATTAGTACAGACTGTTATTGCGGAACAGCCTTGAAGTTACACTGTCCCGTTAAAGTTAAAAAGGGACACATACCACATCCGCACCTGGACATGAACACGTGGACCCAACACACACACAGAGGACATGTCTTCTAAAGAGCGAGGCCTGTATTTTGTTAAACCGCCCCTTTACGAGGCTTTGAAAGCATCCAGATGATTCAGAGAGCGAAGGGGCGGAGATAAAAGCACAAAGAGTCACACTCATGTCCTCTGCGGTTTCACCTTCCAAACCTTCAGGAAAACATCTACTAAACATCTCCTGATGCTCTCACACATACACACACATTCAGACTCGGTCCCGGTCAGTAAATGTGATAGTCACACTTCATGACACTCATAACGTTGACAAACACACTGAAGTTGCAAAGAGAGAACACATCTAAACTGATTTACTCAGCTGGAAAACATTTACACATGCAAAGCACACATAGAAGAGTGAACGAATGTGTGTGTGTGCATTACTTTTTTATGGTGGCTGCGATTTAGATACTGTAAGTGTAGAGCAGGTGCTAGTAGTAGAGATAGGCCGATAAGGAAAAATCACGATAAGAATCTAAGTTCTTAGAAATGTCTCTTTGTAGAAATGTTGGTTTCATATGGTTTTGAAAAACTAGAGTATACCATTTTTTAACAGTTTAAAGTTTAAATTTAATGACTTCAAAAATGTCAAGTGGTGTAACCATCAAGTAAAAAGTAAAAACATATTTTCCTTACACCCCGAATCTGTGTACACTTTATATTAGTATTTTAAATAACCATTTTTAGATTTAAACAAATATCAAGAACTGTTATTCATCAATATCATGTTTTATAAGTTGCGCCACATGACATTTTACTTGAACTCACATAAATATCTTTTTTTTTTAAGTTGCACCACATGACATTTTACTTAAACTCACATAAATATATATATTTTTTTATATATAAGTTGCACCACATGACATTTTACTTGAACTCACCCTGCCATTTAAAAAAAAAAAAAAATTATCAGATATTTTAAGAAACTTGATTTTAACACACTGTCATGAGGGTCTTCATAGGTCTTTATATAATTTCCGATTATGTATCTTCACATGAATCATTACATGACTTTGATTTAGACATTTTTCAGATATTTGATTTCAACATTTTTCAGATATTTATAATATTTAAGGAAAATTGCTCCAATGGTTTATTTATAAGAAATAACAGTAACAGTAAAAAACTCAATTTCAAATAATTTTATAAGGTTTTCTTTTTAAGAATGTCTTTCTATATATTATAGTATCAGAAAAATTGTATTACTTTGACATTCTTGACTTAATAACCCTATAAACATTCAAATGTATTTTAATTCAGAATTTTAATTTTAAAAAATTTGTCACATTTTTGTTGCAGTTTGTTGCATTTTAATGTATTTTTGAATAAATGAATATATCCTAAAATGATAGATCCTAAAATTCATACTATTGTAACAGTTGAAAAAAAAAATACATTAATTGAAGTACATACTGCCAATAAAATGGTTTAAATTAAGTCTTTACTGACAGTAAGCAGCTCAATAAATTTGAATGGTAATTCCATCTGAGTCAGTATATCACAAAACAACAATATCGGCCGATCTCTAGTGAGTATCACTGAACACTATGAAGGAAATACAGAAGGAAAATACTTGCCGGGATTTTCTGAGACATTCCAAGCTGTAGACAGACAGGGAAAAGAGGAAAGGGAGAGAGATGGAGAGAAAAACAGAGAGACAGAGAATGAAAAGGTTTTGGGGAAAGCAAGATATAGGAAAGAACATGAGGGATTTCACAATATTTTATTCAACCCCAGAAGCTTTGAATAAGAATATTGTACAGGAACTGTGAGGGCTCTCCTGAAGGGAGGGGCATTTGAGATTCCCTTTCCTCTCCCAAAAGTCACATGAGAGAGGACGAGAGGGTAAACATGGGCACAGAGGTGCATCTGGAAGAAAAACCTGGGCTAATGTGCACAAGGTGAAACCCTTTTGCTGTTAAAGGAGTCGTCGCCCCGTCTGGCGCACACTCATGGAGAGAAACCACAACTGAGGAGCCACGCTGTTACATCTCCAGAGGAGGTGAGGGTGTCAAAAAGAGATGTGAAATGGACAGAGGCTGTAGGGGACTCTCTGGATAAAAACCAGGAGCTCATGCTACGGCTTCTGGCCTCTGAGGCCAAGAGACTGTCATTCCAATCTCTTTGATAAAGGTGCGAGAATGTGAGTTATGGTACTTACATTTGGCCTGAGTGATGGTGTCTACTATAGTGGCCTTGATGTAGCTGACACTGTAATCAGGTAGAACTAAAGCGAGACTACAGAGAGAAGACACAAGCAATAAATGAGGATGAAAAGCAGTAGACTTCCTGACATTATTATAATTAAGAAATGAACGTCCTGTGAAATTAAAATTGGAGTTTTGTAGCTTTTTGTCCATGTAAGTTGCAATTTATAGATTCCAACTCAAACTGCTAAGAGATTTTAAACTCTAACATAAATTACTCTATTTCGCTTCACTGTATCCTTTATGGAAGAAGTATGTCAAATTTCTGTTCAACATGACTTTGAACAGTGCCCCCTAGCGGCAATATTTAAAAAAAACAAAAAAAAAAACATTTATATGTTCACTTGTACCCCACAGAACCAAACACACTTTCACAACATAAAAACATGAAACATGAAACAAAAACAAAACAAGAAGAAAACAAAGCAAAGCAAAGCAAAAAATAAATAAATAAAAACAAGACAAAAACAACTCATAAAATAAAATAAAATAAAAGTAGTAAGAAGACAACAAAACAAGACATAAGACAAAAACAAAACAAAACAAAACATTGCTCAGACCTGTAGTCTGTGTCATGGACTGGACCCCAAGTGTAGGTTCTGATGCCTCTGTCTATGTAACGCTGCAATAAGAATAAAATAACACTTAGTGTTTTAATGAACTATTGATCTGTGTTTTACTTCTAAATAACTATTGTATAGCCCAGTGGTTCTCAACCGGTGGGTTGCGACCCAAAAACATTTAAAAGAGAGGAGAAAATGTTTGTGTGTGTGTGTGTGTGTGTGTGTGTGTGGCTAATCCAACTCTGTACAGTTTTAGTGCAATTTCATCTGTGATTTGTTCTCTTCCTGTTTTCCAATCTATGCTTGAATTGTGATGTCTTAAATTTTATTTATTTATTCATTTATTTAAGAGTGAGCCAAATAGATGGTTCGCCTTCATTTTTATTTATTTATTTTTTATGTCAAAGGATGTGTGGCTAATCCAACTCTGCACCATTTTAGTGCAATTTCATCTGTCATTTGTTATAAGAAACATATGATATATTAATATGGCTTAATAAAATAAACATGATTTCTACCAACCAGAATGTGTTTTGTGCAGTAAAATTTTTACCAGAGATATTTAGGAAATGATAATAAAATTCAATGAATACATTTTAACATTTAAAGGCCATTTTTGTTTGCTTTTGTACAATGTTTTAAAAATGTAAACAATTTTTATGTTGTTTCCATTTGACCTCTAATATAAAAAAAAAGGTTCTGAAGCAAAACCAGCTGAGAAGCACTTCCTGTTTAAATCATGCATGATTACCTCATCTTGAGACTTCATAAGTGTTTGGAATCTCTTTTGATCCTTCTGACCCTCTATCATACTACTTCTGATCTACAGACAGACAGAAGTCAGACAGACAGACAGGTGTGTCACTGATGTATCATTGCTGTAAATACAGTACGTTACTGGATCTTCAAAAGCAGACACAGAGTGTTGCTTTCAACTAAAAGAAGAGATTTACTACTGTAATCTAATATCCCCTTAGTCACTCTCCAGTGAGAAAATGAGTCATTTGGGTTGTGAAGTGAGAAAATGATATTTTTATAGTCAACATATTGTTATGAAATCACACAGGACTGAGAATCAACTTTGCTGTTTGTTGATGCTTCGATAATCACTTTGTTATGACTTGAACTTCTGTACAACAGAGCACAAGTAACGTTACAAAATCAAATCACACCAGCCTGTATTCATTTTAACACAAGAAAGCTTGAATCTGAAAGCTGATTTGGTATTTTTGAACTTAATTGGATATAAGATTATTTTGAAAAAGGGTTTTTGTCAATTAAATGAAAGTCAGTTGGGTCCAGCGTTGTTTTGGACCCCATTTACTTTCATTGTATTGACAAATTAGTTTTCGGCATAAGAAAGAACATCATAAAAGTTTGCTCTCACCTCCACCTTTACTTCATCCTCCAGTTCTGCATCCAAGAGGTCCAATGTCACGGGTTCTTGAGACTTGAGATCCTGCAGGCAAACAACAACAACTTTCAAAGTAATACCATAAATCAATACTGGACAGCATATTTGTGTCCAGTATATTTACAAATGAGTCACTTTTTCCTTGAAGAAGTGCCCAATGAGGAACGGTTTCTCGGCATATCTACTTTGTTCCACACAAAGTGTTCACTAATCCCATGGATCACTGACTAAACATTTACTAATTGTCATGCATGTGTTTTGAATAAATGCTCTTTTTGCCGTTTCATCTGTGAACTAAACAGAACGATTGTGTTTGGATTGCACAAATTATATTTATTACAAAGGACAGATGACCTCTGCACATGTGGGTGGCCAGAGTTATTTCATCATAACCTGTAGTGAAGGTTCTTCAGCCGTGCATAACTAACCACACACATGGTTATGGGCAGCTACTTTTAACAACCGAGAGAAAGAAACATACAGCGATGGCATAAGTGAGAGTCGTACCTTTGGCTGAAGGTTGGGATGAAGTAGCACGTAGCCGTTGGGGTCGATGGCGAAGTAATATCCATTTGGTCCGAGCTTTATGGAACAAAAGACAAGGGTGATTATTATTCTGTAACATTTGATAGGGTGTTTTTGCTACTGTACCTTTAAGACTGCTACATGCAAATGAGGTTTGTTATTATTGGCTAACCGTTTTGCATGTGAAATGTTTATAAACACTCCCACCAGGCTGGCACAAGTAGTTCATCATAAGTTTAAGCTTGGACTATTCATTTTTGCTGCTTAGTATGCACAGTCAGAAGACAAAACAAACAAACAAATCCTATTCTTGAGAAATATTGTTTCCTAGTTAAAGTAAAACTATTCAAATATATATTAAAAATAAAATATAGTGCCTTCTCTTCCTGTTTTCCAATCTATATTTAAATCTTGATTACTTGAAATGTATTTATCTATGCATTTATTTAAGAGCGAGTCAAATGCATTATTTGCAAATTCGTATAATAATTAATTTGCCTTTTAGGTAATTTTATGTACAGCTTTGGAAGAAAGAAAGAAAGAAAGAAAGAAAGAAGTATACGGCCTATCAGAAATTTAAGAGAATTACTAAATTTTAGTTGATATTGGATATTAACACTGTTCAATGTAATTTTAAAGCAAATCTCAAAATGAATATTAATATTATAATATTATATTATAACATTGTATGTTATGTATATTATGTTTTGATGCTTAAATTCACTTGTAGCATTAATCACAATTGAATTTAGTTTTAGTTAGTATTTTAGTATTAGTATTTTATATTATTATTAGTTAGTATTTTAGTATTTTTATTTTAGTTTTATTGAAATAATTAAATAAAACATTTATTTCGTTAATTGAACAATGTGATAATAATTGTTGGCTTATAAGTATCAAACAAAATTTAAATATCAGTGCAACCTTAAAACATACAAAGGACTTTATAAAACTTTATTATATAAAATGTGTATCGAACTCATTCAAACTAATCAAATATATAAAAGTAAGGTCAAAATCAGACACAAAAAGTTTTCCTTGCTTTCATTGAGTATGTTTGCTATAGTACGCCTATATTTAATATTGAACTTATGGTTTAACATAAAATGACCCCTTGAAATTTATTTGGCACTGAAAACAAAAAGAAAAAAATAACAAGATTGACTAAACACAAAGAATGCAGCAGCACTGGTAACATGACCCGGCTGCTACAGGTCAATGCAACGCTTGTGCAAGCTCTTCAATGTTGCAAACTATCATATGTCGTAAATTAAGAAGTGCAGATCGCACCCACACGCTCTCACGCCTTACAGTGTAATGTGGAGTCAGTCTCTTGATGTCATCCAGAGACACGTCTATGGCCATCACCCCCAAAATCAACTGGCTCTGGGCCTGCAACTGATAACAAGGACATTAAAACAGATCGTGTTCCACTTCAGTTCATCTAATTCACAAGACATCAATTCACTGACTTCACCTTATTCTTGTCTTGACTCTTCCTGGTGCTGGTCTTATTGAACACTGGCAGAGTGCCTGTAATCACAAGGCCCAATTCCTGCAACACAAATACAAACACAACAGCTATTCAATACTTCAGAATCAGCCTAATATCAGCCAGATATATAGAACATTAGACGTACTAGAGCGTCCACATAAACGTTGGTCCACTGTACACTCTTTGCTTTCTTGTATTCTTTCACCATGGGTCTACCCAACACATCCAGGTACTCCTGCAGAGAAAGGATGTTGGTTACTATCATATACGATGCTGGACAAGAGTCACATTTATGTGAACAATGCACTGTCATTTACCTGGGTGTTGATCCTGATGGCTCCAATCGAGGGGATCTCATAATAATAACCTACAGGAAACATTCAAATCTTAATACATGCTAATATATTATAAGTCTTCCAAATTTCTCAGCATTAAATTTCAGCGGTTCACCTTTGTTATTGCAAGCCATCCATTGAATTGGTGTCTTATCATAGTTATGCTGGCCCACAGAAAAGGTGAAGATTCGAACCTGACAGAAGAGAGAAACAAAAGATACTGACATTATTATGTGTTTGTATGTGCAGTGCTGTTCAAAAGTTTTTTTGAATGTTTTTTAATGGAGTCTCTTATGCTCAACGTGGCTGTATTTATTTGATCAGAAATACACAAAAAATGTAATTTTGTGAAATATCATTGCAATTTAAAATTTTGATCCTTCAGAAATCATTCTAATATGCTGATTTATTATCAGTGTTGGAAACTGATGCTGTGTTAAATGGATAAAAAGTGATAGTAAAGGCTTACATTGTCACAAAAGATTTCTATTTTGAATAAATTCTGTTCTTTTTAACTTTTTATTCATCAAAGAATCAAAGAAAAAAGTATCACAGGTTCCAAAAAAATATTAAGCAGCACAACAGTTTCAACACTGATAATAAATCAGCATTAGAATGATTTCTGACGGATCATGTGACACTGAAGACTGGAGTAATTATGCTGAAAATTCAGTGCTGCGTCACAGAAATAAATTATATTTTAAAGTATATTAAAATATTACTTTAATAATACCAATATTAGAAATTGCAATAATATTTCACAAATAATACAGCCTTGATGAGCATAAGAGACTAAAAAAACAAAAAATCTTACTGATCCCAAAATTTTGAACGACAGTATAAATACAAGCTATGATTTCTGGACAAAAAAACCCCTCCATTTGCACATCCGAAGACATCCTTATTGGTAAAAAGACATTTAATTAAATATGATATTACATTTACATTTAGTCATTTAGCAGATGTTTTATCCAAAGCGACAATATAAATAGAATAGAGAGTGCTAGTGTTACAGATAAACTTAAATATGATATAAATATGGTATAATGTTTTTGAAAGATGTGATTTCTCACTGCTCACCAGAGCTGCAAGGCTTTTTTTTTTAAATCAAAACACATTACAAACACTAATACTGTGTAATATTATTACAATTTAATATGTAATTTATTCCATGATCATTCGTAAATCATTCTAACATGCTCATTTGGTGCTCAGGAAACATTTCTTATCATTATCTATGTTGAAAATATGCGTATATAATAATGCTTATTATAAGGCATAATATTTTTTTGGTAAGCGTGATACATTGTTTCAGGATCTTCCAGGATTCAGAAGAAATTTCAATTCAAAAGAACAGCATTTATTTGAAACAGAAATCTTTCTTTCATAACATTATAAATGTTTTTAGTCACTTTTGATCACTTTCTTAATTAAAAGTATTATTTTCTTCAAATAATTACTTTTAAAAGGTAGTTTATATATAAATTAAAAATGCAATAAAAGTTTTCTATTAATGTCAGTGCATAGTATTTATTATTAGCAGAGCATAAAAACAGAAGAAATCCATGGTACATCTGATTTATGTGTGCGTGTGTGTGTGCGTGTATGTGCGTGTGTGTGTCCATGTGGTTCCTCACCTTCTTTTCACTGTTGTACTCTTCAAAGATCTCTGAAGCTCTGTCCTCCCCTCCATCAGTGAATAGCATGATGATCTTATTAATATAATATAATATAATATAATATAATATAATATTATATTATATGGGCGGGTGGCTGGGAAAAAATTACAAAGACTTTACAAAATTGAATGAATGAATGAATGAATGAATGAATGATTAAATGAATGAATGAATGAATGAATGAATGAATGAATGAATGAATGAATCAATCAATCAATCAATCCAAAAGAGAGACACCTTACAGCTATAGCCCAAAGAGCTGATAACACAAAAAAAAATAAAAAGCTGAGGGGAAACAGAAATAAAAACAATCACTAAGTTTGAACAATGACAGATAACAAAAAGTCAAAACAACACATCCAAAGAAGACTAAACCCCATTTAGGCTTTTAATGTCTCCAGAACTGACATGCTGCATCAGGTTTTTACGTGTGTGGGTTTTAGTGTTTAGTCATAAAGCTAAACTACATTGATTGGCTGAAGCTGGTCTACACTAATGGGCTCAACGCCCAGACAGCACAACACCATCATCATTACGGCTGAGCAATAACAGAATCAACTCTTCAAGGCCATACTTTCTAATACAACAAGGCTAATTTCACTTGTAACCAAAAGATGCCCCTTAAGCATGTGGTTTTTGATTGATGTTGTATATTTCTGGTTACATCTACATTATAAATGTATTCACATGCCAAGCATGACTGTAATGTGCTTCTTTATTTTGAATGCAAATATTTATTTATTTTTATATTATTAGAACAAAAATATGCTTTTTTTTTTTGTTTTGCTTACACTGTTTAATATTCGTAAACTGCTTCATTTAACACAACTCTGTTATTTAAATGCCTGCCAGAGATTTCCAATCTAAAAAAGCAAAAATTGATTTTTCATGTTTATTACTCTCACCTCTCATTGGTGCGTCTTTAATCAACATCTCTCTCTCTCTAACATTGATAAATGACTCTAATGCAGAACTAACATGAGCTCTTTAAGTAGAGAGTGTGGGATGTGTCACATGCAATGAAAAATCACATTCTGCTGATCAACCAGTTGCTCAAAGTGCAAAATCGAAACAGGATCAGTTGTGAGAAAGACTGCTTGAGCAGCTTGGTGGGTTTGTGTCAGTGAGTGTATGAACTGTAACCGTAAATCATAGAGACTTCACTCACGCGTCCACCAGGATCAACATGTCTTTAGGTGAAGCTGCACCTTGAATATACCTGCAAACACACAAACACACACACACACACACACACACACACACACACACACACACACAGGAGATAAACCATCAGGCTTAACAACCGAGAGAGGAAATAAAGCACTTGGTATCTCTCTCATTAGCAGACAAATGTAAACTCAAGCAGCACAGGTCTGCTCACCAGGGCCTTCGGCGTACATCATACAGGTCAATCTTGTTTGGTGTGTTCTTCGTGTCAACCCAAGGGGAAGCTAAAGCAGATGGGATATTGGGTTTATTATGATTATTATCTTCCTAACCTTCTACAATCACTTCTTAAGTAGAAATAGGTTGTATGGTCCTGGTATTTAAACAAAAGAAGAATGAATGAATGAATGAATGATCAAAGTTAGAAAGCAGTAGGACAACCAAAATATTTAATTTTATATAACATCTCATTTAAAATGTAGCTAGTATTTAATATTAATGTAATAAATATAATTTAAAAAGTAAATACAATTTTTATACTGAAAAAAAATGAAACAAAAGGCGATCAGAGTTAATGATCATGAATGTTTAACCTTCAACAATCATGTCTAATGAAGGAGAATTTCAAACATTTCCAACTAACAATCGGTTATTTAATGCAAGTATATAAATAGGTTTAACGGGTCTGTGATACATTAACAAAATAAAAATAAATAAATAAATAATCAATCAATCACAATATTTAATACTAAATATTTAATTTTATTTAATAAAATTAATTAAAAATTAATTTTATATTATTTTGATGCTAAAGAATAAGAGTTGATCAGTTACTGTTTATCTAAAACTATGACTTGCATTACATTTATAATTTCAACTACTTATACTATTTAAAACCAAAATGTGACACAATTTTATGGTCATGCAGCACTCATGACTTCTCTTTCCCTCGCATAAGGTTGTCTATGTTCTGGGCACTTGTTTTTGCTTTTCTATTCTTGTTTCCTGCCCTGTGCATGTGTTCACCCTCACATACCACCATCAGCTATGGGACAGAAACTATGTACATATGGCTGCACAGTGTCTGTGTGCTCTCCGTAGTCTCTGAGTTATGGTAAATATCTGAGTTTTATTCATTCCAGTGCTTTACCTGGGAAGTATCGAGCCAGGCCAGAGGCACTGCCAAACACCTGCCAGAGGAGGGATGGGTCATCTTCCTTGTTCTTCTTAAAGACGTCATCCAGAGCCGCAGTCCAGTTTAGCTCATTCAGGATTATAGTGGCTGTTACAAACACAAATATGCAGGATAAATCCCAGCATCCCCACAGGTTTTATGGGATTTAACTCAAGCTGACATGTTTTCTGAGAGCTCTGTTCTAACAAACACTAAAATGAACCCCAAATCAGGGATAAATCAATAAACTGGCTCTCAAAACTTCAGATCCAATCATGTTATGCTAAACTCGAAGTGATAAACCACTGAGGTAGAGGAAACAACAAAGTGAACTATTAGCTAATGCAGTTCTAATGGAATTATAGGAAAACCGGGCCCTTTTTTCCAGAGAATGTCATAAATGGACACAATGCCTTCTGTAAGTGAAAGTGATGCTAACATTTTAAAAAGAGCACTGGCAAAGATATGACATCATTGCCCATGATGCCACATAACTCATTCCCCAAAAAAGGTGTTGATATCTCTTTTTTCTGTGGGTTTAGTTTACGTATTATGATACTAAATTATTATTAGAATCATTACCGCCTTGACAGCCTCTGTTTGATCCCATGGGACGTCTTTTACTACCCCTCCAATGCCACCCACACTCTAGGTGTGTAATCAATACAGGCCTTCTCCATCACTCAAAAGCAGACCAGACCCTATCGATCATCTTTAAGAAGGTCCATCAGCAGCCCAAAGCTACATCTCATCTTCCTCTATTTCAACCACTTCCTTCCAGTCCTTCCTGATATACTCACTCATTGCCTATAGTAAAGAATATGTATGGAAAAAGGATTAAAAAACGTTATTGGAAAAAAAATATGCGCAAGTGAGTTAATCATAAACAATTGGTAGCCTAACAGCCAGCATGTTTTAACAACTGTATACACAAGCTATCAGAGTTTTTGTCCTAACCAGTCATTTTAGAAAGTCCCGCCCATGGTGAAATTTCATTGGTCTAAAATCCTGTCCCTCAAAATTGCACATAAATTCAACATCTTCTGATTGGCTTAAACTGTGTAGAGTTGCTCCACATTTTCGCTTTCAGTGTGGACAGACAAATTAAAGAAATTGCTAGAAATTGCCATTTCATGCACTTTTAGGACACTTACAGTCAGTAGAGGAATAGCACCTTTTACACACACACACACACACACACACACACACACACACACACACACAAGCAAGGCTTTTTCTTTAATTTCAGTGGCATTTTTTATGAATTTAAATTAATTTAAATACATTTATATTTTTACATGTTATAATTACTTACCTTTAGAATGTTACTTTTCTCATTTAGTTTAACTGTGCATGCATTATTATTTAATATTATTTCTTGTATTACAAGCATTATTATTATTTAAATATATTTTTAATTACTTGTTTTACAATATTGCACAATTTAAAATTGTTCCGTTATATAGAAAACATGCAATGATACCTAGAAATTACATGTATTTTAATTATACAGACAACTCCAAAGTAGCCATAAATTCATAAACATTTTTGTTGGTAATTGCTGGAATTGACTGGTTTGATATTTTTAACAATAAATTAAATCGATCAATCGAATCAATCATTAAAGGAACATGATCATTAAAGGAAATACAGTGACAAAACCTAAAACACAATAATTTTGCTAGGCCCAAACTCTCACACTGAAGCACGAAACAGCTCTGCAAACACAATAATCTTATAGTGGTGCCGTAGCAGAGTGAGTGCTAAATTGCAGGATCAGTTCAGAATCATGAAAGCTTGTAATCACTGAGAGGATATCCCTTCTGCATGCACACACACACAAACACACACACACACACACACACACTTACGTACTATACACGTCATCTCTTTACATACATGCAGACTCTATAGGTCAGAAGTCAATACTGCAAGTAAAGGCTGTCACATATATCTATATAAGACTAGTCCATGAAGGCATAATTTACTGATCCTAAAGGAAGTGCATTAGTGAATGAGAGCTGTTTACAATCATCTATGTTCATATATGTGCGTGCGTGCGTGTGTGTGTGTGTGTGTGTTTTCAGTCAGATTAGATGAGGTTTCACAACCCTTCCTGTTGTTCATTCATCATGCTGTCAGTCTGCCGGGATAGACACCACACACATCCTTATTAGCGAACACCCATACAACCAGATCTCTCTCTCTCTGTCAGTCATATCTCTATTTGCTTCTGTCTGGAAAATTAGTGCAAATAACAAGATCAAAGTCCAATTACAAAATAGAAACTGGAAGTGTATGACTGTACAACGGCACTTAGGGTCCAAAATGAACACTCGCCAAGTACCAAATGTGTGGTAAAAAAAAAAAAAAAAAAAAACTTTCACTGGTTTAAATGAATCAGGGCAAACAGTCAACAGAAAAACCAATCTGTGCACTACGAGCACAGCCAGAGGGATCCATGTGACGGACACGTCATCACGCTCACACACACACTCTCTGAGCATGTCTGTGTCCATCTTGAGATTGTGATGACAGATGACACACTGCGTTGAGGCAAAAAGCACAGATTCATATCGTAATAAGACACAAACATACTGACAGCCTAGAGCCCCCAATAACATACACACACATACGAATACACAAACACTTGAATAATCAGCCACATTATTACATCATAAACTATTATTTAATATAGAGTTAAAAAACTGTTTGAATGGAAAACAGAATATTGCTTGAAAGCTTCACCCAATGGCTGTTGTTGAGTTGCACTAAGCAATGCTGCAGGACCAAGAAAATCAGGCGGAAAGCAAAAGGTACTAAGAGTAATTTGAAGTGCGTAAAAGTAGATAAAGAGAGACAGTGGGACAGAGAGAGATGAGTCATATGATGAATGCGGCTGCTTCAGTCCTCATCTAGAACACAAATATCACATCAGACTCATTTGCCTGTGAAACACTCACACAAACGCAAGGCCACAGTGAGCCCATCATTGAGGAGATCAGATTTCTGCCAACACAGAGTGATACACCATGTCTTAAAAAAGCGCTAGCCGATTTGACCAACAGCCAACATATACATGTGATGTTTAACATAAAGCTATGAGTGACCAATGAGATTTTGGAGGGCGGGGGTACTAAGCAAAATGTCACCAAAAAATGAAAAAAATGTTACAAATTACTCATTCTCAGGCCATCCAAGATGTAGATGAGTTTGTTTCTTTATCGGAAAAACAGATTTGGAGAAATTAAGCATTACACCGCTTGCTCACCAGTGGATCCTCTGCAGTGAATGGGTGCCGTCAAAATGAGAGTCCAAACAGTTGATAAAAACATCACAATAATACACACTAATTGTTTTGTGAAGCAAAAAGCTGTGTTTGTAATTAAAAAAAATCCACCATTATTAACTTTAAACCAAGTCCTCTAATCATAATGTTTTCTCCAGTGAAAAAGTCATCTCGTCTGAATCAGGAGAGAAATATGCAAAGATCAAGCACTGTTTACAAGCAAAAACAGTCCAAAACAAATATGTTGGTGGATTTTGATGTGAGAAGATAACAGGGAATGGGCTTTTTCACTGGAGGGAACATTATTATGGATTATGGACTCGTATTTTGACAAGAAGCCATGGTTTAAAGTCTTGTTGGAGTTTTTTCTTACAAACACGCAGCTTTTCATTTCACAAGATGTCATTTAATTGATTGGATGTGGATTATTATGATGTTTTTATCAGCTGTTTAGACTCTCATTCTGACAGCACCCACCCACTGCAGAAGATCCACGGGTGAACAAGTGATGTAATGCTAAATTTCTCCAAATCTGTTCTGATGAAGAAACAAACATCTTGGATCTACTCAAGCTACAAGCTACTCATGATCTACAGTAGCTTTCTCACCTCAAAGCATTCATAACCCATAACCTTTTAAAGCAAGAGACAGAGAGTGAGAGCTATTCTCTTGCTGGAGGATGTTGGGGGTTGTGGGGTCACTCAGGGGCCAGGCGTGCTGCGTTTGAGCTGGGCTGCTCTCTAAATTTAGTCTGAAGTTTTTCCACAAGCCTCTGGCTGTCCACACCTGACACCCAGCAATAAAGCTGAGCTGTCACTGAAAGATTGATTTTATAAACTGGTATTTTAGCTACCATGCAAAGTCGTAAAAAAAGAACACATGCAAAGATGTGTGTGTGTGTGTGTGTGTGTGTGTGTGTGTGTACTCACAGCCCTCGTAGATATCAGTGGGAATGTGCACTGCTGTTGTACTGTATGAAACAGAGCGTTTGAAAGCAGGATCCTCTTTGAATTCTAGCTTGACGCGGTTATGTCGTGTTTCAGTGTCATTGATGTCAAACTAGGAACATAAAAATAAGCATAAACCTCTCAAACTACAAAAAACACCTTGTTAATTTTCATTTCTTTGTTGTTTAGTTCATATCCAAGCATGCATTTTTAAAAAGAAACCTTACCTTGTCCTTGGCATTGTAGTAGATGGTATCATTAACCTGTTTGACAAAGTGGGATCAAGACTTTAGTGTTTTATTATCAAAGCTTTTAATATTCATTAGGATAGTTTGGTTTCAGTATGTTTATTTTTTTATTTGTTTGTTTAGTGGGGCAGTCTATTGATGTTATCTTTTTTTTTCTTCTTCTTTTTTTTTTTAAATAATCATAAACATTCCAGAAAGGTTACAGGGTAGGTTTGTGCAACAACCTAATAAAAACATATACAGACAAAAAATTTTTAAAAAAGTCACACAAAAAAAATGTTTATGTTTCATAATCACCAATTTCTAGCATTCTATTAATGTTCTTCTTAGGTTTTTGTCACAATATTGATTTATATTTCATGATCACAAATTAACATTCCCATAATGTTGCAGAAATATAGGCATTTGTATAGGTATTTGCATAAAGTTTTAAGTGTTTCTATATTAATTTGTGATTCTCCGAAGTCAAATCTATTTTTGCAATAGTTTTCTGCAAGCTGGTTTTATATATTTAAAAATTATTATTATTATTATTAGTAGTAGTAGTAGTAGTAGTAGTATTTAGGAAATTCATTCAATCATGCTTATTTAAAAGAAGGCATATGAGACTTTACCTGAATTAAAATATCATTCCATCTAATATTATATCAATCATCAATTTATTGCATTTTTTTTTGTCAAAGTGTCCATCTCTAACAGTATATTGAATCTGAATGTGACTGTGTATTTCCAAGTGTTTTTATTTAGCTCTCTATGTGTGGTTTGTACCTAATCTTTGTGCTTTCACAAAAGGAAGTTGTTCAGTTTTTGTACTCTCACTTTCCCAGAAGTGATGCATGCTTTAGGTGTGTGTGTGTGTGTCCTCCCAGGGTTCTTCTCCTCGCAGTGTGAGGGCGCTGTCAGGACTAGCATTAGTGGGGCGTTAACAAGCAAGCTCACTATCTGACATACAGTTGCCTTGGAGACATAGAAGTGGATCATCACCGGCTGCCGCCACCTGTCCTACTTGCTTGCTAATCATGTGGCAGACACTCTTTTTAGGTTATAGACCACTAATCGCTGAGACATGCACATATAGGTCAGCCCTGCATGGGATCAAACTCTTGACTTTCTACCTGCATCCCATCAATAACTAAAAAGAAAACCTCTCTGTCTGTCACAACAATTGTGTCCATAACAAAGGCTTGAAGAGAAGCACCTGCTGCGACAGCTCCAGGCAGGGCAGACTTTTGAACACAAAGGTGCCCACACATTTGTTTGATTTACAGTACACACTATGAGTGTAACATCTTAACTATGGAAAATAATATAATACATTTTTTAACACGTATCATGGAAGTACCATGTAAATTAGAACCGTCCAATAATGATTTTCATAGTATGGCCGATATAAATATTCAATGCTATTTTGTGTAAATAAATAAAATTACAACATAATTTGTTTTAAATGCTACTTAGCATTATCTATATACTACTATAATATTTATTAATATTTCAAATTAGCTTTTTATATTTTCAGATTTAGATTGATTTAGCCATTTTTGTTATGTACGTTTGTCATTTTCATGATTATTATTTTTAAATATTTCTATTTAGCTTTATTTTCATTATGGTTTTACTTTTTGCAATGTATTATTTCAATGAATTTATTAAGCGAAATTCAGTTAGTTGCAAAGCATTTGTAATTTTTATTCAACTTTTTTTCTTTTTTTTTTCTTTTTTTTTTTTTACCATTTTTCCAAATTATATTTTAACTTATTTTATCTTAATTTAAATTACTAGAAATTAATTTAATAACAATGATCACAACATTATAATGCACAGAATAAAAAAATGATATTCATTTTGAGATTTGCTTAAAAAAATAGCATTTAACAATGTTTATTTTATTAACTTAAAGTGAACATTAAAGGACATATCTATGCTCACTATTACATATATGTGACCCTGGACCACAAAACCAGCTTTCCATTGACGTATAGTTTGTTAGGATAGGACAATATTTGGCTGAGATACAACTATTTGAAAATCTGGAATCTGAGGGTGCAAAAAAATCTAAATATTGAGAAAATCACCTTTAAAATTGTCCAAATTAAGTTCTTAGCAATACATATTACTAATCAAAAATGAAGTTTTGATATATTTACGGTAGGAAATTTGCAAAATATCTTCATGGAACATGATCTTTACTTAATATCCTAATGATTTTTTGGCATAAAAGAAAAATCGATAATTTTGACCCATACAATGTATTTTTGGCTATTGCTACAAATATACCCCAGCGACTTAAGACTGGTTTTGTGCTCCAGGGTCACATATTACTGTAGCAAATCATCACTGGTTGTGATAATCTGAATCTCCATATATCTCTCTAATATTCAGATTAAAACAACTGATTAAACATGTTTTGAAACTTTTTGAGTTAAAGTTTTTTAAAAGCATTTTAAATAGCGAATCTCCCCTCTAGTCTGATTCAGAAATGAAATATTGCTGCGCTACAAATTTTGATAACTCATTCAGACAATACTTGACTGACAAATCTATAACCAGACAACCAGACATCACATCCATTTCTCTGCAAATTAGAATTGATATTTCAGTCCGTGGGAACCTGAAATGCATCAATACCAGATACCACAGATGCAAGGTCTGATACCAGGATGCCAACATTTTCTAACCCAATTGATTATCTCACCATCTAAATAAGGTGATGACGTGTGTAAATGTGTCCGGTATCTGTTCTTATCCAATAAAGGACTGATTGAAAACATGCCCTGGCAAAAGTTTCACAGCCTTATTTCTTCCACCTGTGTGTGTGTGTGTTTCAGAGTGTTTAGAACCATGTGTTGAATGTGTGAAGCATTACATCAAGATCATCCTTCCACTGGTGCTCCTTCTGCAGGTTCTCCGCAGCCGTCGCCAGCGCCTACAAACACAAGGAACGAGACCAAAGTGTTAAAGAATGCATTAATTTTTTTTAAAGAAATTAGTTTTAGAAATGTAGAAATTAATTTAGGATGCATTATATGCTTTGCACCACAGAAATAAATTACATTTGATAATATATTCAAATAGAAAAAAGTTATTTAAAATTTTTTAAATATTCCACAGTATTACTGTCTTTACTGTACTGTCTTGATATGCCTTATTGAGCAAATAAAAACAATGAACAATCTTGCTGACCCCAAACTTTTGGTATAGAGTATACTGTAATGCATAAAAATCATCATCTTAAACCAGAAAAGAACACAAAAACATTAGTTTTAACAATATGTGATCATCTATGTAAGAAAGTTGAGCTTCATTGATTTTCTCAAACTTAATAAAAGAGCCTCAGAACCAAACGTTAACATCCAGACACTTTATAATACCAAATAAATGCATTAACATGACAGAGTTCCAATACAATTGGCTAATTTATTTATCATTCAGTCAACAGTTGGTTTTAATGAAGGAAAATTAAGCTCAGCTTTAAACCTCATATCAAACGGTTGAGGAGACACATTTTTCTCAGACTGACCTGCATTCAGCCTTTACTCCAGATTCTCTGCCTATGTGAAAACCCCTCAGTGACGGCAAACTAAATTTAGACAGCAGCTCAGGTCCGGTCCAGGTCTCCTCAACTGATTTGGTTAATAACAGTAATGGCATCATTTTTTAATCTTGTCTGTACTAGAAACTCACTGTACGCCTAATTTCCCCTGGGAACTTTCACATCCCATTCCTGTAACTTGTCCCGGAGTCTTTTTCTTTATGTATCGTTATTTTATTTTTTTTAGTTTTCGTTTGTATTGGCTTTTAAATGAGATTGAAGATTAGGAGTAACCAGGGGACTAAAAGCAAATTAAGAAATTCTCATTTGATGCTCACTGCTAGATATGAGTTGGAGAAACGTTGATCAAATAAACAGTTGGTTTCTCATTTTCTGGAAATTTAGAATAAAGGCTGAAACTTAATGGTGTTTTAGGGTTTAGTGCAGAAATCATGGTGCAACTAACAAACATAAATGTAAAACAGGAAAAATGGTCACACTTTATTTTAAGGTCCAATTCTCGCTATTAACAAACCATCAACTATGACTTTTGCCTCAATATACTCCTAATTTGCTGCTTATTAATAGTTAGTAAGGTAGTTGTTAAGTTTAAGTATTGGGTAGGATTAGGGATGTAGAATATGGTCATGCACAATATGCTTTATAAGTACTAATAAACAGCCAATATGTTAATAATAGTCTTGCTAATAACGAGGACATAAATACATGAACAACATCTCAAGAACTGCTCTGAGAGTCACTTCATGAGCATTTGACCGTTTCATTTGAGTAAAACTATCCCCATATCATATCCACGCAGAAATGTAAAGGTATTCACAGCAAACCGCCAAAATAAAAGTTCGGTTTCAAAAAAGTTCAGTCCCCCCCCCCCCAAGCCGTTAACCTTGGGGAAACACTGCAACCCAACTCGAAATGTCAGCGTTTAAAGAAAACAAATAAGTGTAACGCATGGCTAGATGATGAAACCTCTCCACCCACCCACTCCAGACATCCCATAATAACATTGACCCCAGGGTCTACGCACTCTGATGAGCTGTTGCCATAACAACCCGTGGCATGGTCGCATTAGGACTGGGGTGTGTGTTTGTCTTAGTGCTGGCCCCTACTGTCCCACAATCCAGGAAGGACATCACAATCTGCATGGCAAGAGCCTTGATTTTCAGAGAAACATGTCTCATCTCGGACTGATCAGGGTCATCGCTAAAATTCACAGGGTCTGGAACAATGTTTTTGTGCGTGGGCCCCTCTTCCATGTGAGAAAGTTGATACTATAGAGCTGTAAGGGCCCACCAGGAGGCTTCAGCAAACAAAAAAAAAAGTATTACAAAAATATTTTTAAATTTAAAAATATTTATTGATTGATTGACTGACTTATTAATTGATTGATCAATTCATTCATTTAGCTCAGTTTCTTCCTTCAACTCTCTGGGCTTTTGGTTATACAGTCTCTCTCCTTTGGATTATTTGCATTTTTATTTTTTAATAAACTAAACCTAAGTAAACCTACACTTCATTCATTAATTTATTAATTCGGCTCTGGGTTATCTATAAGTATAAGGTGTCTCACCTTTGGATTATTTGATTTTTTTTTTTAATAACTACACCTAAACTTCATTCATTCAAATTCAATTTTTAATAAAACAATGTTTTTTGGAATGTTTTGTAATGAACTAAACATTTATGTACAGTATGTATGCATGTATTTATTTATTTATTTAAATCTAACCTCAATTTCAAAGTAAAACATGTAAACTGACATCATATTTCTTATGTAGACCCTTTACGGTTTCGGATGATATTACTCTTCTCTGTGCAACCCAAAATCAAGTTTTTTTTTAAGTTCTTTTGACTGTTATCAAGAAAAAATGCAACTGAACGCACCAGCGTGTTCACTGACCTCAGAGGGTTAAATTTCTCCCATCAGCAATTATTTTTATTGAAGAACATACACTTATTCCCACAGACATCCCTCTGACATACAGTATGTGCATATAATCCATCTCATTTATCAATCCAGTACATAATTAGACTCTCTTCTCACTGTTTTTGGAACTGAAAGTTGTTATTATTATTAATATTTACAGTCATTCACCTAAGCACAGTGTACAGTTAAAGGTCAGACCTGTATCAGCCATAATGAGGCTAATAACACAACAATAAGGGAAATCCCAAGTGACAGTTCTACTAATTTATGCAGAGAAGCACAAGAGATCAAATCTTTAACAGCACTTTTTGAGCACCGCACACACTCGCATTATGCATTAGTAGCTAATTAGTCAGTCTTGTACAGTAGCTCTCATGTACAAACAACTGATGTGCAGAGCATCACTGTACATGCTGAGAACACAAACATCTGCCGCTCCTGTCTATCTAGCCTTTAATTCCCAGAATACTTAGCAAAAAACAAGAAGACATAAAAAAAACTATAGGGAATCAACAAAGGACTAATGCACACACATATGTTCACACATGAACAAAACTGAGGTTATACATGCCCTCTGGCTAGCATAATTACATGACTAATTACAGCGATAATTAAATAATATATATGTAGATTCTGCTTTGATGAGGGCATTTTAACATTAAAGAAAAGTACAACTCTATTCTGAACATCCAGTTCATTCATTCTCCGTGGATTAAAAGAAAACTACCAGGCTTATGTGTCTCTGTAACAGCCCGACATTCACCATTAAATAAGCCACATTTTGTTGGGCCTTGACAAGCTCTTCAAAAGTCAGCCAATTACCCTTTGAATCCTGCCACAGTGTTGAGGGATGATGGAAGAATTGGCGTGAAATGCTGCAGGGTGGATTTGTCATGTCTCCCTGCTGTTGTGAATGTGTGTAATTTAGCTCTGTTAGTTTAACAGGATCTGACTTCTCTTTTTGTCTCTTTTTTTTTTTTATTGTTTTCTTATTTCAACAGCTGCTAAATATAATGTACAGTATTCTCTGTAACAACTGCATTATAATATAAAATGAAATAAGTACTAAAAAGAACACTACAAAAGCATAATAAAATATTAAACAGCACATCTGTTTTCATCATTTATAATAACAAGAAATGTTTCTTAATCACCATATCAGCAGATTGATTTGTGAAAGTCCATGTGACACTGAAGACTACAGTAATGGCTGCTGAAAATTCAGCGTTGCATCACAGGAATAAATTACATTTTAAAATATAATTAAATACAAAACTGTTATTTTAAATTGTAATATTTGATACGATTTATTAATGTATTTTTTAAAGCATTTTAAAAATTTTACTGACCTTAAACTAGAGTATATAGTATATAAAACACCATTTTAAACAAGAGGACAAAAACACAGTTCTTGTTGGTACAGTAAGTAGTTGTTACACTTTTTACACCAGTAAATATTTCATAGGCTTATTTGTTTAAGATGGATGCATGAAAACATACATGTAAAGCATACATAAAACATAAAACAATTCATGAAATGGCAAAAAATGTAAAAGATAACACAAATACTGGTCAGCAAATATTGTAATCAATACAATGTATACAATAAAACAACTTGCCCAAACCTGAAAAATACCATTGTCCTGAATAAGTACCATATTCACATACGATGGTATTTTTACCAGACTCCAATGCATTTAAAAAAAAAAAAACATGGTAGTACCATAGTAAGTGCTCAAAAGGTTGTGTTCTACATTTACAAACATTTCTGTCACAACTCAGTGCCTCAATGAACAAGTGAAGGTCAAATATGATTCTAATTGGTCAAGGAATTAAAATAAACAGTCACAGCATTGAAACTACAAATATCTGCTTTTCCTTGAATAAATATGTCAATTTTATCCTACAATCTTAATGCCTTCCCTGCTTGGACCTGTAACTAGTGACATGACTGCCAGCCAAATCGAAATGAGATGAATAGGGTCAATTTATTCACTTTTCAAATTAAAATGTGAAGCTGAAGTCTTTCTTGCTGGAAAGCGTCCATGTTGTTAACCCTTCGAATGTGACACAACAACATGGAGAGAATGAACCTCTGAAGTTCTCTCAAGATTCACTTGTAGATATCAGTACTCCAGCTACAAACACAAGCACGTGAAAATATGTTTGTGGTAACCGAGGAGTTTTCACACCTCTCAGCACAGAGTAAACACAGATTATGAATAAGAAACTATGATCCCTATAACGCTTATCGTGTTCAGCCTGGCAAAGACTGATGGGAGCTGGAGCCATGTTGGCTTGTGGCATAGTAAACTCTATTGGCTTGCCAGTGTGCAACAGGAGCCATTTTGGCTCAAGGTGGGTAGAGTGTGATGCTTATTGGGGATCCACCACCTGTCACTGTTCCAAGCACAACGTGATGAAACTGGTGTCCAGCACTACACTTCAA